AAGAAAAGGAACAAAGGCCACACTACTACAGAATCCCCTAGAAAGAAAGTCATATCCGCAACAGATTCTAGTTGTGAAAAATCAGTTACCAAGTTGACTGATCATAGCAAAAAAACCAGCAACCACAACAATAAGTTGTTGATAGAAGCGTTTACAGCTTGGATGGAGCAGATCATGGATAACCAATTGGATGCATTTCGTCAAAAACTTCAACAAAAGAGGGAACAAGAGAGATCCCCAAGAAGAGACAGAGAGCAACAGAGGCAATCAAGTCCAGATTCTAGAAAAAATCACTTGGCCAAGGATCTAGACAAACAAAAGAAGCTCGTAGTGCAGGAAGAAGAGCTAACCTTGATTACGGATTAGAGACAAATCTCAAACCTTGAGATCACTAATACTAGTAATGCAGAACAAACTAAGGTAAGTGATCAATTAAGCCAATCTGTTTTCAATAGTTCTCATGACGTGATAACACTCTTGTCTTGTCCAAAAGAAGCTGAAAAGGGTATAGGTGAAAAGGAGAAACGTCCAGAAACACACATTTCACTTATTTGTCCATATGAGGCGTCTGAGCAACCTGTACTTGAATCACGTGCACCACCTGATCTTGTTTCAAGAGGAATAAATATCACAGCTGAGTCTACGCAACACATATTGCTTGGTACCAGAATAAGTGAAACTCATAACCTGATTCAATATTGGCAAAATTTCATAACAGGTCATAGTTTCATACCGAATTAACTTTTCAGGTAAGCCACGTCTCTTGCCCCACCCGAGGCCATTAGAAGCCCCACAGCAATAGTGAACATCACCAGCATTCCAAGAAGCAAAGCATATGTTCGCGGAGATGATCTCTTATACTCCCCAAACAGATATATCCCCCAAAAAGTTGACACCAAAGGAAGTGCCTGCTCATGATCATGAATCAAGATTCACCAAAAAAACACAAACCAAAGATAACAACTTTTTTCTTTAAGTTATAAGGGTGTTTGTGTGTGGTTACCTGAACAGCATCTGCAGCTGCATATCCTGCGGCTTGTCCACCCATGAACTGAAGACCGTTACCAAACCCACAAAGCAGTCCAGCCAGAAGAGCCCAACCTCTTCCATTCCAGTCACTCAAGTAATCCCTAAAGGAAGATCTTGGTGAGTCGAGCAAGGGGTTGTATAAGAAATTAATGTTAAGAGCTACGGCGATTACAAAGCAAGATAATGAGAAGTAGAAGAACGCGGTGTAGACAATCAGCTTGGGAACGTCTTGTTTTATAGTGTGCCATTGGTCGTTCGTTGCAAGGTTGAATAGTGGTGAGAACAATGAGAAACAGAGGCCTGCAAAGAAGGTTATTCCCAGACCAACAACCATGCTCTTTCCAAACACCTGAATTCAAGAGATATACGTAGAGGTTGATTTACTTTATTGCTTCCAAACTCAGGAGTGTAACATGGAACTCAAGAGAAAGATCCTACTTTGATAGCTCGTTTGTTCTCAAGTGCTATAAGAAAAGCTGCAGTCCCTTCCTTTACATTCTCCATCTCTTCTTCTACTATAAAACGCAATAACTGAGTGATCTTCTTAACACTATCAGGCAATTAAGCTACACTTTATGAGTCAAACTTCACCTCCAATTCCAACTAGACTCTGGCACTCTTCGTGGGTCACCCTTTTACAATCCTTTGAGACTCTTCCAAGTTTTGCTTCTATATCAGCAGAATTGGACGAGTGAACAGCAGAACCAAGACAAACAGCTAGCAAGAAGCAACCGACACCAGAGAAAAGAACATCTGCTCGGTTCAATCTGTTATCCAAAAAGTAATTGACAGAGGTGCCTACAACACAATATGCATCAACCGTGAGTCAGTCAGCGGATATTTGAAGTTTCCCTTGCAACAAAGCAAACAAAGTGGATGATCCACCTATAACAACGGTGATGCTCGCGGTTGTCACTTCTGTAACAGACAGACCAACAAAAGCTAAAGCATACTGAGTAGCAAGGTTCCCAATACTTAGACCCACCCCACCCGCCATTGCAAACAACACAGACGGCCAATTATCCTGAATCTGTAGCAGCAGCAGAAGGTGATAACTAATACCAGAGAACACAAAGATGCATAGATGAGAGAGTCATTTCAAATTCTAACCTGAGTGAGTTGGGTGATGAAGCTTGGTTCCTCGAGTGTAGTAGTTTCACCTATCTCACCAAACACAAAGGCAATGAAGATTGCAGCCAAGAAATTTGTGAAGGAATAATCGAGATAAGTATGTTGTGGGAGACGACCACGACGTTCAAGAAGAGCCATAAGAGCAGGCCAAGTGCCTAGGCAGAGTAGAGAAAGCACCATACATACAATTGCTCCTCCTTTGCTCTCCACAACATATATTCCCAATCCATCATCACCCACCATCATCATCCACCAATAATTTCCTCTGTTTCTGATTACAAATTCGACACAAATAAACCTCAAATAATCAATCAACCATGATTCCCAAATTAGAACTAGATGGGTATCTGATTCCTTCCCACTATGAGCAGTACTCGATTCGTAATCGCACTATAGCACAATCGTTAATAATTAAAACGAAAGAAAAATCCAGACTTTACTACAAAGCTCCCCAAAAACAAGAGTTAAAGTATTAACCTTTCTACAGAGCTGCTATAGATGAACGATTAGTCGGAGAAGCAGGTCAACGAAGAGCTTATATGAAATGATAAAAAAAAAAACTGCTTCTTCTTTCTTCTAAGCATTTTATAGGGAGTGGAATAATTGATCGAAGTCGTGTCTTTTAATACATTTCTTTTATGAACGGATAAATTGAGATAAAAGGTGTTGCATATCGTTATTGAAAACTCGAATCTGATAAGTGATGAAATTAGACATGGACGCATATCTACAGGTCAAAAGAAAACATACTAATATGAGTCAAAATATATCAATATCCATGGGTTATCCAGACCCGCCAATAGTTTTAGTGGGTTTAGATTGAATTTTTGTACCCATATAAATAAATGGGTTATGGTGGGTTAACCTGTTAAGGTTACAGGTTTAATAGGTAAACTCATTAGGGTCGTGGGTAACTCACGGATTTTTCATATAAAAATAAAAATAAACTAATATATTATTATATTAGAGTACGTTAAAAATTAGAGTTTTTTCTGCTAAAAAATTAGGGTTTCTTTTGTATCGGTTAAAAAACTAGGGTTTTATATAATTTATATAAATAGGAGTCGTTCTCCCTAATTTCTCTCTACTCTAAATAGGAGACAAG